TCTAGTAGTCGCTTGGATTATGTAATACGGTTCATTCACTCGCGATCTGATGCTAATATAAGCGAGCATTTTCTACTAGACCATCTTCAATGTTAAAGATTTACTGCTAAAGCTGAAGAGAGCATTGGTCCGTGTCACTTGGATAACATGTATAAAAAAATACTTCGGATGCTGTTGTTATCCTGTATCGTAATATACTGTTCAATTTAGGAAACTGGAGAGAGTATGTTTTGATGCGCGTTGCAATACCACTTCTATCTTTGAATCTGTTCCAAGTACTATTAAATAATTTTGGTGGCATCAGTACCATTAGATTGATAAACAACTGACTGTTTCCTTATCTTTCTGGAAGTGAACAGTGTATTGTACTTAGGAAAGTTCTACGTTTTAGATAACTTATGGTGTGCCAAAAGCATTTGTTCTTTCACCTTTCCTCATTTTTTCTGTATTATTACAAAGAACACTTTTTTTGCGTAAGAAGATGATCTCGCTGTATGTACATCAATTTCCGTCTCTTCATATTTCCATTGAAACCAATGTGTGGATTTGTTCTTTTAACCATTGCCTATTGTTTATGGTCTCACACCAAATCCTCCTAAGTGTCAAAATGCCATTTTTGGACCAAGACATGAATAACACAAACACCCTTCTTTGATCGCTCAAAGCCTATAATATTGGAGAATCTACTGTAAAAGCAGCGCTTATTTATCTTGATATTGTTTATCCACAGGTCTCTGTTGGACTGCTCATGTTTTCTTAGTATTGAAGGCACTTTTCGTTTGACTTATTATGTTGAGAGGTTACATGCTTTTGCCATTATTCGACATTTAATTTTGTGATTTGTAATCATTGTATGATATCTTGCAAACCACATCATTCACATTTTCCGCTTTACACCTCTGCCAGTGAGATGAGAGGCCGGTAAATTAAAGTCCTTCAACACGAGCAAGGTATAAATGCCCCACCATACCTTAACTAAAATGCATAATAAAGGACAAACAAGCTCACTGATTTTCATACTTGTTGTGGATTAATTACATTTGTGAATTTGTTACGCCGACAACATACTTATTTTGCCTTAACTAGAGTTATTTCGACCAAAGTTTGGAGTTTTTTCAAATCGATTTCATGGCACTCTTCCTTTCGTCTATTCTCACTCGTAATACTAGATGTAGGTTGTTGAGATCACAAAGTAGTACATCAAGACCCGGATGAAAACCATCACCGTCCAAAAATGTCACGATCTGGTTGTCCTGAGTGACTGGAAATAAACGGCGGTTCAAAAGATGAATGCTAGCCCCGCAAAAAGCGCCTGCTTATTTGGTAGTCCATCGTTAGTTTACCATTTTAAATTGAAGAATACTCTGCCAGAGCTTCTAAGTAAGACTAGACTAAACACTTAGTTGGTTTTTGAGTACACAGGTCTTACAAGCGAATTATATCAAGGCCTGTATAAATAGATTATTCTCTTTAAGTGTCATATACAAAAAATCGTAGTCTAAGAGACAAATCCCATAAACTGAGAGTATCGACGGACGAATTTAAGCCACCCATCATATCTGTGGCCTAGACTTGGTTAGTCTAGGACTTGAGCGTAACACCAGAATTGTTGGTGTACAGTCATATAAGAACTGATAGAAATGGAGGGAGGAAATGTGGCAGGTTCTTTGCCTGCGTAACTAATGACGTAATAGTCCATACCTTTGTGAATACCATGGTGTAACTTGTGAAGTCAGCAACTGTTAACCCAGATTTGAAGGTTATACATTTATATTTAGTGTCATCCATGGTAGACCGACCTGATCAGCTGATGACTTTATTTTGGATCACAATCAGACATAAAGTAAAGTGGTCAGTAAATGCTAGCTCATCATTTGGAGATGTATGATCCAAATTTCCGGGTAACCTTAACCTAGTAATGTCCCTATTTCTGCCGTGCATAGTACAACATAGATCAAACAACCGTCCACCATGGATAAGCGAACATGTAAAGAAACTCCTAACACGTATGAAGAGGCATCAGTGTATGTTTATCTCTTTAGGCTCTAAACAGTACAGATCCATTTACTGTAACACCACCAAGCAAAGCGTTGATAAGTAAGGCTAAACTTTGGTATAAAAAACATTTTGATAGAGATTGCAAAAAAGTTTGAAAAGGATGTTCACTTACATGAAAAGTTGAAACTGGAGAAGAGTTGGGGCCTCGCTGTTATGACCGGTGCTCTCTCATTTATCACGTGACTAAATCGTGAATCGGAATACCGACATGTATGAATTTACCCCTGTGCAATGCCAATTACAGGTTGACCAGCACCAGTAACTTTGAGCCAGTTCTGAATCCTTATTGGTTCTAGGTAATAATGGCTTCTCATCTAACCCAGCCTGTTCACTTAAGAACACAATATCCGCTTCCGCTGTATGAATTACATATTTCAGACACACATGGTGTATACACATACAGACCAGAACGCATCACACCATAAAATGCAGAATAATGATTACACAAGATCAAGCCAAAAGTGGTTGAATATGGGAGATTGAAGCTAAAACAATAAGGAATAAACTAAAAATGGTATACCTTATAACGTAGCCAGTAGATCAAATGAAAGTTTATGATAAAAAGTATAAATATATACAATCTAGTTGCTCAATCCTTATACAATAAGATTCTGTATATAATAACAGTCTATATATGGTTCCCCAATGTTTTAATTTTTTAAGGTAACAAACCTCGTTTTTGGTAAACGAAAACCCTGGACACTGTGAAGAAGCGATGTTAGCAGGTATGAAGACTTGTCAAAATATTTTGGTAACGTGTTTCCTACTGACTATTGTGCGTACCAACAATTAGTTCTAGCGAGTGCGGCATGTTGACGGATCTTGTATTATTTTAGAAGGAAGCTGTCGTGTGAACATTTCGACATTTCAAATCAGATAATTCCACGGGTCCTTAAGATGTTTATCCCAGCATCATCAAAGCCCTGTCGGTTGTAATTGTTGAACGTTTGTAGTGGTATTTGAATTACTTACTGAATTCACTAAGTAAACCACCTACCTGCTGTTGCTTAGCGTTATCTCCGTCCCTCGTAACCCTAAATTATTTGAATAATGTCTAATATGAACAGTATATCACTGAGTCACATGACACATGCATTATGGTAGACCTGATTGACATATTTTAGTAATAATTACCGTGTTGTTCCGTGCTCTCGTTTTTTCTCTTGTTGTAGATGATTATATTTAATTCATTATGACACAAGAAATGACCTCAAGTGCATCTTTTACAAACAGACAGAATGTTCACTTAAGGAGAATGAAGACTTCCCAGCCGATGAATTGCATTGCTGTAACACACGTCAATATTGTACTATGTAAACAATTTTTGAACTAGTAAACTTTAGTCAACCTTATATCATAAGTGTGTCCTTTACATTTGATGTTACTATTTATATGAGGCTGATCATGCCTGTAAACTGGCGTGAATTCTGTAACTACTATTTTTAGATCATATTATTATTGATATTGTCTTTTGTGCAGTCTAAACTGTCAAGAGACTAGAAGGACGCATTTATCTGTTTGGACTATGTAGTGGGGAGTTAAGACTTAGTTTGTTACAATCGACCCATAAGACTTACCGCTGTATTGATCAAACTAATGCGGTAATATTATTCATACGGCTGTTGCAAACTATGTGGAAGGGAATAATGTTTAAGAAGGGGAAAAACATAGTTTCAGTGAAGGGTATTTGTGCTTCATTATCCTCCTCATTGCAAGAGAGGTTGGGGATGTAGATGAGGATAGCAGTGCACAAATACATGTGTTTTTCATAGATCTAAGCAAGAAGTTGGGGCATTAGCTGGTTAAATAAATCTGTTATCAACCAATCGCTCAAAGCGAGTTTGCCGTTCTGACCTTTCAACTGACCTGTCACTACGATCAACCTGCAAGCCCTCAACTACTGTCTGGGAGCCGGCTTTTCCTCAACATTAGGTCGGTTCTTATTCGTGATCCGTACCCATTTTTCAAAGTACATTGGAATAGCAGTCACAGTTGCGTCACAAAAACTGTGGGATGCTAGATGATTGTTGATGACTTGGGTGGTCAGGCTGTTGTTTTTCCTGCTAGAAACAAACCCAGCCTTGCTACTAGGTTTTATAGGGGTTTTCTGCCTGTCGACGTTTGTAGGGCAAAGGACAGAAGGATTTTCCTTGCTTGAGCTTTCATCCCTAACAGACATCTCTGAAGTCGATCCGAAGTCCATGCGAACAAACGGATTCAGAGCATTTTTGGTGTAACTTCACATAGATTTGTGTATCAACAGATCGAGTACCATTCGATGCACCTCGATTACGTTTACTTTGCTCCTTTTAGCAGCATTCACTACTGGAATGATTTTTGGATAGCGATCTGTCTGCGTTCGAGCAGCATTGCTGACACAACCACATGCTACCATTTCTATTAAACTGTTTAAAAGCCACAGGTGATAGGTTCGTGCAGCTTCATAGTACCATCCTTCACACTCACCGCACTGCGTGTCACTCTCCGCAGAGTATCAACAGTCCAAACGTTGACTCTTGCTTTTTAGCACTGTATAGTCATCAGTCAGAGGCTTTAAAAAAATGAGTAAATGAAAACAACACCCAAAGAAAAAAAAGTTGTGACCTTAAAAAAGAGAAAAAACGTGCAACAAGTAAAGGAAGAACCAATGTATTCAAGTACAGATGGAAAATTACTTATGAAAAAACGATACTCTCGACGACTAATTTACCTGAAATAAATTCGATTAAAGCCAAAACAGTAGTCTTCATGCGTGATAAGCCATCAAAGCAACAAAATTAACTCAGTGAGGAAAAATACCACTGTTCTCTTTAAATAGTGCGTTTACTTATATATGCAGTTATCGATTGTTTTGTGATCTTTTAAGCGAAACCTTTTGAGACCTTGTGTTCTAAAAATTCCATATTGCACCGAACGTATAATTTTGGATAAGGCAGTTAATGATGGTATATATAGGGGATTCCGTTTCTATCATCCGGCCTACAGGAGACCCTGTGTGGGTGTTTTTATTGTACTCCGTGGACTGAAAGTCAAAGTTCAGACAATCTGTTTTTACAGTTTATATTTTGTTATCGTGAACACGGGAAGTGAAGAATCTCGTCGCATGTTTTTGACATGCGAAAATTGAAGGCTCTCTTCCGTTGGAGCTGGCTTCAAGTCAGACGTTACAGCCCCTAAAATTAATCTTACGTGATGTCAAGGGGTTAAGCATTTACTTTGCACTACTATTAGAAGTTGTTGTTAACAGAATGTCAGGAAGCCACTCAAGCTCTGATGACAGCAGCGATTCCAGGAAAAGACCCCGGGAGAAAGATATGGACCCAGATACCAGTCCGAAACGTCCAAACTGTGGTAAGTTTTTCAAACTTGTTTTCTATATGTCAATTCATGTTTATGATCGGTAAAAACTATGTTTCATATTAAAGAGGATAATGTCCAGCTGAAAATCTTGGTTCCATCAATTGCTGCTGGAGCAGTCATTGGGAAGTCTGGCGAGGCCATCGGCCGGATTCAAAAGGATACTAATACAAAGGTCAAAATATCAAAACAAGATGAATTTTATCCTGGTAAGAGATATAAAGTCTTCATTTACTATCCTTAAGCTGAGTTTCCTTGCTTCTGTGTCATAAGTGATATGTATTATCTACAACTTGGATTCTGCTTCAAAACCCTGCATACAAAAATGTTTTAGATTATATCATGTGTTTTTTGATCAGTTTTAATTCCTTGGTCAAGAAATTCCTGTTGACAAGTGGTTTCGCTGCATGCGAAGCTTTAATAGACCCCACTTTAAGATTTTACTCGACAAACCTATATAAATGGATTCCTTCAATCTCGGACTACAACCTTCGTCACTATAGCACATTTAGTGGCATAGATGGAGTCATTGGGTTTGTTCAGCTTAGGAACTTGTGATGTTATCATATATGTCATAGCAAGTTGAAAGTTGGATTAATTCATATAACAAACTTGTATTATAGATGTCAAATATTGCTATGTGACTTGTCTAGGCAGTATAGAATTATAACTTGAAAAGATTCCGTCTATTTCAAAGCTGATAATTTAGTGCCCAAATTCATTTACTACTGATTCTACGACTATTTCGACTCCTTTACTATTTGTCTTGTTGATTGATGACTGACTCCTTTAGCGTTTCCAAGCTGTTGAAATACACAAAGGAAATTTTTTACTCCTCAAGTCCATGTACTTCAAGCATCAATTTCATATTATCAAGAACCAATTTTAGTAGTGGACTTTTATCTTTTTATTTTTACTATTAACTTTACCCATGTAATTTCTTTAGATTTCTTTCGCTTTCCATGCTTAACATCATCTCTCTGACGTTATTAACATTTAAGATGCCAGTCGTCTAAATGTCCTGATAGTCATAATGTAAAGTGAAACTCAACAACACGTCCAAGGATTATGCGTGGTAGTTTTAAATACGTGTTAAGCTTAGTTCTTGTATGTGACATTGATCATATTTCACCTTGCCCCATCACATATTGGTTAAGTACAAAATATCATTGTCTTAAGTTGCCTTTATTGACCGAGGGTAAAACGTTTCTTGTACTTCATACTGTGGTGTATCTGGAGAGATAGGGGTTTTAGTTAAGTCTTTCATTAACTACCTAAGAGTAAGACATTTAGCGGAAATCAGTAAGTTAGCTGGTCATCACATAGATTACTTTTATGCGACGAATTTTGCTTTTTGCAAACATTGGAAGTTAGACTCAGTTTCTGTTTTTAACATTTCTAAATGGTTATTTTTACACTAATTAATGTATGTACATTTATTGGTAATATAGATCATGTATTTCCCATTTTCTGACCTATATTTCTGTAACATAGCCAGTGATAATATCCTAAATCCATTGATATATGGTGTGAATCAGCAATTTTAATTAATTTTTTGAACTCATTATCTGGGCTGGAGAGAGAAACTCCATCAAAGTCGTCCACATGAGCTATAAGTCTTCATAATCTTCAAATACAGTTTTAAGAACTAGTCACATGCTACAGAGCTTCATGGTTATGGTAAGGCTGTAGTAAGGTTGTAGTATCAACTTGTTCCTTTGGGTTGCTTATTTTCACTAGTGATACCTCATAACTGCCTAACTTAAAAGTTCTTATATATTATTAAACCGATTGTGTAGAAATTATTGTTAACTATTGGGGCCTACTCACTTTCTTCTCGTGGCGGGGGTGTTGTTTACGAAATTGAGAGGACAGAACGCAAATGGCCGGTGCTTTAACCGGGTTGGTGGACACGGAAAGTCCACCTAGGGGAGTTGGAAAACCCTGATTCCAAACAAATGGTGCACATGAGCTCCAGTATCCTGAGGGTACGAATGACGTATGAACCAATCGTTGGTCACCGGCTCCCGTGGGACTGCATCTCCTGACGTTGCTCCACTGCTTTGTGGATCAGATCTTTAGGTCGAAGGCTCCGCGTGTGGCTCCCTAAGAAAACCACCTGCTTCTGTTTGGGCACCCGGGCAGTATCACAGCTCATACAAACCTAATGAGATTTGTTTGGCGCATATGTATTTGGAGCGTCCTTGTACCAATATCTATGTGTTCAAATAATAAAATAATAATAACGGGGCTGAGACTTGTTGGTTAAGACTCTGGATTTTAATCATGGGTCTAAAATTTCATTTACCCATACACAACCAGTCAAAAAGTATCACTATCCGTCATATAATAGACTTAATCACATTAATTTTTGTTTTGTTACTGAGTTCTATTGCTACATTACTATAATTATTAAAATATCATAAGATGGATAAATTAACTTCAGGATATGAGGCTTAACAGTATCCTCATAAAAATCTTTAAAGTCAAGAAATTATTTAACCTATGATCCGCCAATTTATGAGGAAACTATCAAATCTGTGATAACAACGCAACTATTTGCATTGTTCCGTTCTTTTATACATCTATAGATGGTACCTACAAATAGCCATTACGTACCCGGACGCGAAATGCTAGCTGACATATAAGTAGGTTTAGAAAAAGTTGGAAGTAGTCAAATCAAGACAAGATGAATGAAGTCAGTCAGTCAGTAACAACGTAGAACTTCGTACGTACGTACTTCAATTCGAGTTGCCATACCACATTAGCACAGAGATGCAGTTATCGATTCAAATCCCGTAGTGGTAGAGGTAGTAAGAGTATAAGCAGTAATCGGGAAGATTAGGGTTTGGAGATGTTATTTAAAGAGTATAATCCAGTGAAATAAATTTGGGGAGATGAAAAAAAGGGACATAAAGAATTCAGGAGATTAGAATTTGGGAGAACACAAAAAGTGTATGAATGAAAGAAACCATTGTTTGGTTTCAGGCTAATTGGTTGATGTAGACTTCTGAATTGAGATTCTTGAGATTATCACTGTATTGCTGAAGACATCAAATGTCATGTTTCTGCATCGTACTCAGTGGTGAAGTTGTCCTCATCCTATATTTTACTTTATATATTGAGTTCGGTGTTGTTCCTTACTTTTCATTTCTTTCTGGGGAATATTTATTAAGCATAGATTTGTCCCAGCTTTCTTGTTTTCTTTGACTTTTTACAGAATAAATAAAAAAATCAAATAATTGTTTTGTCATTCTGATTTGATTACTGCAAACAGGACCTGTAAATCTTACAACCGACCACTTTTCCTACTTTTAAATGACGTGATATATTCTAATCCCCATTTATTTTAAAATAATTGCTTTGGAAGAGTAAGGAAATATGCTTTCTAGTTTAATCATTTGGTAGATTTGAATAGTTATAACTCACCTCATCAATATCGACTATCGATAACTATTGGATCTGTAATCAGTTAATCGCTGATCACGTGGTATTCACGTCCTACCGAATAAAAGAGGCTACATAACAATGAAAACTAATATAACGACATCCGTTGTTTTTAGCTTCACGAGCGTGCATGTGTGTCTTAGTTTACGCTACATAACAAAGTTTATCGTCGAATGTTATATTATCTCAAGTGCTTTTGGTATCAATTGGACAGTTTGATAATATATTTATCAATATTGACCCAGTATTTTTTTAAAACTATGCCTTTAGTGAATTTCCAGTAGCGTCGTATCCACTATTTTTGTTCTACACTTACGTATAGATACACATATACATACAAACATACATACATACATATGCATACATAGACGAGCAAACGCATGCACGTCTTTCTAACAGAATTTCGGGAAGCGGTAAAGATACCCTAACGAAAAGATTTTCAAAAATGTCGTTTGTCAAAAACTGCCCGACCGTATTTATAGCGGTAGTCTATCAACAAATTTTTTCGTAAAACAGAAAATCCCATTTAGACGTTCAGAAATAAAGCTAGTTCCTGATCATGTCGCTTTACTTATATATATGGATAATTCTATGGGAGTCAGTCAGTCAGTCAGTAACAACGTAGAACTTCGTACGTACGTACATCAGTTCGAGTTGCCACACCACATTAGCACAGAGATGCACTTGTCGATTCAAATCCCGTAGTGGTAGAGGTAATAAGAGTATAAGCAGTAATCGGGAAGATTAGGGTTTGGAGATGTTATTTAAAGAGTATAATCCAGTGAAAGAAATTTGGAAAGAGGAAAAAAAGGGACATGAAGAATTCAGAAGATTAGAATTTGGGAGAACACAGAGAGTGGATGCACCTGCGCCATTGCAAACGATTTTGAGCCATGTCATTCAGGGTCTCTAACCATCGGTTGCTGTCATCTCGCGGTCCCCAACCAGGTAGTCTACACCTACCAACATGACTCAGTTCACTTGTCAGTGACTTCATGGACTTGTGCCATGTTTTGGTTTGGCCGCCCCTAGCTTTCTTCCAACCTACTCCTATACCACTGAACATAGCACGTCGAGGCAGTCGGTCGTTGGGCATACGTAACACGTGTCCCAGCCATCTCAACTGATGAAGTTTCACTACTTCATCAATTGATTTGCCATCCTTACCTAGTACCCGTTTCCTAACAACTGTGTTACTTACTCGATGGTCCCATGATATATGAGCAATGTTTCGAAGACACCTATGATCAAATACTAGTAACCTACGGATATCCTCTACTCTTACCGGCCATGTTTCACTGCCATAAAGTAGGACGGAACGAACTGCTGCGCAGTAAACACGTCCTTTGGTTGATAGACGGATATCTCGCCTACGCCATAAATGACGCAAGTTGGCAAAAGCTAGTCGAGCCTTCTGTATCCGTGCTGAGATTTCGTCACACACTAAACCACAAGGGCTGATGAGACTTCCAAGATAAGTGAAGCGGTCGACACACTCAACTACTTCACTCCCTATCACTAGTTCGGGTGTCGATGTAACCCAATCCTGAAGCAACATTTTGCATTTCGAGGGAGAGAATCGCATCCCGAACATGCTTGCATTGTTGCTTAGAGTGGCCAGAAGACTCTGCATTTTGTCAGTGTCTTCACCAAATAAAACGATGTCATCAGCATATTCTAAGTCAACAAGTGAACCTCCTGGTAGAAGTTCAACCCCTGTAAATTTAGATGAGGAGAGTGTTATCTCTAAAAGTACGTCAAT